CCCTCTTTCAGGTGAAATATTGAACCAAACTGGGAGTCACGGCGGCTCAGTAGTTAGGACTTCTGTCTTACTGCGCCAGGGAACCCGGGTTCAATTCCACCCTCAGGCGACTGTCTGTGTGGAGTTTGCACATTCTCCCCGCGTCTCTCCTCCAGGTATTCCGGTTTCCTCCCACAGTCCAACATGTACAGGTTAGGTAGATTGGCTGTGCTAAATTGCTCATAACGTCCATGGTGAAGTAGCCATAGGAAATGTAGGGTGTTAGGGCAGGGGGCAGATCTGAGTGGGATAGTCTTTTGAGGGTCAGTGTTGACTCGATGGGCGGAGTAGCCTGCTTCCACACTGTATGGATTCTATGATTCGAAGTTTCAACTGTCTGATCCTGTTGCTGAAGAGGAGGGGAGTTATCCCTAGTGCCCTGGTCAATATTCACCCCTGAATCAACCTCTCTCTCTCATACACACTACCTGACTAATATCTAGTTGATGTTATCCGGGCTACGTTGGTTCCAAAGATGTGCCGCCTTTGTCTTCATTACAACAATAACTACACATCAAAAACATTTTGTTGGGAATGGGAGCTCTGGTGCTACATAAAGGCAAGTTTTGTTCACTCTCGATGCCACCTCTTGTCGGGTCACAGTCCAGTGAACAATTCTGGGATTCTTCAGTTTTTGATTTGTCAGCATTTTCTTTTCATGAAAAAATACAAAAATCCGTGAATTTCGTTGAGCTCAACTCGAGTTAACACGTCACTTTCTCTTTTTTACAAAAGAATGAAAACGTGGAATTTATTCAAAAAAAAACAAGCAGTTGAGGTTGGACCAATTGGAATTTTGAACAACAGGTTACAGAGGTTAGCTTAATAACGTTACTGTTGGATACAGGACGGCAGTGGGTCAATGTAGATTAGGAATAGCGCAGTCAAGATCTAGAACATTGGGTGGAGGGGTCGAATGGACGTTTACCTCCGTTCCCTTTCCGGAGTTCTTTATTCTTTTCGATTTAAGGTTGACCAAGGAAATTATACTGGACATGGGCGGTTGAGGACAGTATCTCATTTTTTTTCTTTGCCTGTTTACACGCCCATGTATTTTTGCTTTAACACAGGAGTCCCCGAGAAGTGAGCAGACATCAATAGAGCACTGATTTATTTTGACTCTCCAAACGAGTCTGACGGTTCCTGTTAATAAAATAAAGCCTCAGCAATATACATAAACGGCGAACAAAATATATGTTTTACTGAACTGGACAGAGGTCAATAAATAATGCCCAAAAATATACTCCTGATGCAAATTTTTTCGGGTACCAGTCTTTGGAAGGTTGGTTGCAATTTGAGAATGACGGGGTGAATTTTTCCAATATTTATTAATTCTGGATTAATTTTGGCCTCTAATTTTAATTTATACCCACTCATAAAAACGAATTCCAGCGGCAAATATGCCTAGCGTGATTTTCTCACTGAGGAAAGGCAAATGTGTCACCTTGGAACTTCTGACCACAATCGATTGAATTGTGACCCGTTTCTAATAAATAAGCAGCTTTCATTCTAATTGTTTAACAGTCCGATGTGATTCCAACTCATGTTAAGGGCGGGGGGGAGAGGGGATGTGCAGTCACAGTTCAGTGTTGATGAGTGATCTTTAGTGATCCACTCACAGACTTTCCCCAAATCAGGGGTCATTTGAAATAACACACTCAATCGATTACACTCTGAGCTTGTTGTCTGGAGCGATTTCTACTGCTGTATTACAATAAACCGGGTTGCTTGCTGTTAGCAATAGCGATGTTTATATTCATATCGATATATGTATGTTATTTCACTGTAGGACGTGGTGGGGATTGGGGGAGAAGGTAAATTGACCGCTATTGTTCAAGGCTATGGAATTTCGAATGGCAGCCAGGGCTGTGTAATGGCTGTTCAGATTTGTTATTTTTTTCCAAACAAGATTAAAAAAAGTCACTAACCCCATCGCCTCCCTTCACCCTATCACCATCACCCCCGCCCTTCCTTATGTATCTGGTCGCTTCCCCGCTCCTTCATTCCGCACCCCCACCACCAACCCCCCCCCAACCCCCGAATAATTCTCTCCAAGCTTCTTTGACGAGAGGAAAGGGGTTTGTTTGGGTGGGGGAGGTTGCAAGTTTGACCTGAGCTGATCTCTCACATGTGTGCGCGCTACAGGAGAAACAAGGGGAGGCACACCCTGAAGTCATAAACTGCAGCTTCCAAGGAGCACTGACAGTTTTCGTGTGACCTGTGGGACAACGAATACATTATTATTTCAACTGTGTAAAGGATGAGCAGATTAACGACATGCGCCCCCCCAGGCAGACATACGGTCCGCAGATTGCGCCTTGCTAGCAATATCGTTATCACTTAAGCGACTAAAGCTGCCATCAAAAGGTGCTTTCAGTCATTAGGATAAAGGGAGAGAGAGAAAGCTGTTTGCACCCGGAATATTTTGAAAACTGGTGAAAATGCTTCTAAGTGTCAGAGAGGCGCTCAAGGTGAAACATTCGATTGGAACCTCACAGCATTTCTTCAATGATGCCAGTGTATATGCGGGACGGAGATAGGGAGACACCTTTCCCCCTCTGTGAAACTATACTGTGATATTCCACCTCCACCATTCCCCAACCGATTGTTGTAAAAATAACTATTGTAAAATGGACAGCATGCACATGATGTATGCTAAAGAATATTGCATTTTTTTTGTAACTTGATCATGCTGTAAGTGCAACTATGTAACAGGGAAAACCACTTCACCTCACCTTGCAACCTTCAAAAATCTTCCAGCTTTTCTTCTTAGGTGATGCAATGTATTGGTGGCTGAAGCACTGATTGATAATAAACGCTGTTGAAATTATTTCATCACTGCTGGGCAATTGATCTCCTCTTCAATTTCCACAGTTAGTTTCGGGTAACTTCATAGACTCCCATCAGTATCATACTCATTGTGAAGCCTGATTGCAAGCTGTTTCAGTAAGCTTTAGGGGTTGATCGAATGGAGGTGACAATGCGCATCTCGGCCAATATCATTTAAATGTTCTATTTTGTCCCTGAATAGAAAGCTTCGATTGTTTGTTTTCCCTAGTGCTCATTAATATCATGTTTTGGGAAAAACAGTGTTCAGTTAAATGTATATGTTTCTCAATATAGTTAGAAGAAAGAAGAATCACTATGGTGACTCGGAAGGTTGTTTTTAAACAAAATTAATTTGAAGGAAAATGCGCTCGATGATTTAACTTTAAATAGGCACATTCCGCAAAATGGAACTCTTTCAAATCCAACTTTGTACTGATTTTTTTCCTCGTCCTGCAAAGTAAAATTGAATTCATTCTGCATCTTTTCAGAGCATTAGGCAAACATAGAGTCATATAGCATGGAAACTGACCCTTCAGTTCAACCAGTCCACGCCGACAATATTCCCAAACTACGCTAATCCCACCTGCCTGAGCTTGGCCCATATCCCTCCAAACCTTTCCTATTCATGTACTTTTCCAAACGTCTTTTAAATGTTGTAACTGTACATGCATCCACCACTTCCTCTGAGAGTCCATTCCACACACAAATCAGTACAATCTATCTCCTCTCACTTCAAAAATATGCCTTCTAGTTTTGAACTCTCCCATCCTAGGGAAAAGAACCTTGTCATTCACCTTATCTATGCCCTTCATGATTTTATAAATCTGAATAAGGTCACCCCTCAACCTCGTACGCTGCAGTGAAAAACGTCCCAGCCTTTCCAGTCTAATTTTATGTTTCAAATCCTCCATTCCAGGCAACATCCTGCTAAAATCTTTTCTGAACCCTCGGCAGTTTAATAATATCCTCCCTACAGCAGGGCGACCAGAATTGCACACAGTACTCTAGGAATGGCCTCACCAAACTCCTGTACAACATCAAAACGACATCCTAACTCCTGTACTCTAAAAGTCTGAGTAATGAAAGCGAGCGTACTAAACGCCTTCTTAACCACCCTGTCTACCTGTGACGCAAATTTCAAAGAATTATGTACCTGAACCCCGAGATCTTTCTGTTCTACAAGGCTCTCCAGGGCCCTATCAATAATTGTATAAGTCTTACCCTTGTTTGTTTTAACCAAAAATGCAATAACTTCACATTTATCCAAATTAAATCCTACTGCCACTCCTCAGCCCATTCACCCAATTGATCAAGATCTCTTTGTAATCTGAGATAACCTTCGCTGTCCACTGTATCATCAATTTTGGTGTCATCTGCAAACTTACTAATCATGCTTCTTATATTCTCATCCAAATCATTTATATCAATGAGAAATAAAAGTGGACCCAGTACGAGTTAAGCATAGTTCAACTCTACTAGCACACGGTTTAATTGATGGGTAAGTACTTAGATTATAAATTGACAACTCTAGTGTCTGATAGCCAAAGCAGACTGATTATCCATGATACATATTTCTATGTTTGTGTAATTATGCAGCTTATTCTTCCTTTAAATACATTCAAATATCACTGAACTTTCTTGCTAACTTAAGGATTTGCAATGTGTAACTTTCCAACGTTCAGACTAACATTTCAATGGGAGTAGCTTGGACCATATCGAAGTGAGAGTCGTGTTTCGGGAGGATAGGGGAACTGAGTATATCTTTTAAATGCACTTTTAAAAAACAAATCCTCTTTTTGCTGGCAACATATCATTTCTCAGAATGGGGTGGTGGTGGGGACTGTTTTGCCGTCAGCATCCATATAGCCGGGCGTTTTATGCTTTCGCGAATTGCAATCGCAATTTCTAGTAATGCAGAAATTGCTGCCCTCCCTCCTGACATCGAGGAGCTGCCAAAAAGGCGGAAAGTCTGGGAGCGGAATGAATCATTTCTGCTGCACGCCAGCCAATGGGGAGAGAAGGAAGCCAACAACAGACTAATAAGAACTGCGCAGCGTGACCATACAGACTGACGTGGAAAAACGCGTAAAATTGATCTGGACTAACTACAGCCTCTAGGATATACAAATTTGCCCTAATCGGGTGAAGATCACCTTGTGCTTAGCTTGCAGTCCCGTCTGAATATTGTTCCCTCTCCACTCGACTGCTCCAGTGACGGTGGCGGAAAAGAATTGTGTTGTGTGTGTATGTGTATGTGTGTGTGAGTGTGTGTATGTGTGTGCTTGTCTGTGTATGTGAGGGAGAGGGAGAGGGAGAGAGCAGGGATACGGCCTCTTAGCTCAACTCCATTTCCCCGGTGAGACGATACCAAGGAAAAGGGGGAAAAAAGCTATCAACCATTGCAAACGGAGGATTGTTATTTTTTTTTCTTTCTGTCGCCACCCCCCTCCAATCTAAAAAGGAAAGATTGCGGAACATTTCTCGCTTCGCTGGGCGATGGGTAAGCACCGAACTCCTCTTCGCATGGTTCAGTGGCGTGAGTTTGATAACAGACTGGAGAACTTGCTCTAATACACGCGAAGGGTCAGAGCTGGAACGAGAGAATTCTCACCGCTGGATGATTAGACGTGAAGGGATGTTTTTAGAATTGAGAAGTGGGGGAAATAAAGGCGAAACCAACACGTTTATTTGATTACAAAGGTTGCGATTCTGCCTAAATATTGAGAGGGAAGGCGGTGGGGGGGGGGGGGGGGGGGGGGGGGGGGATGTGGGTTGAGGGGGGAGGAACTGATGCTGGGCGATTAATGGGAACAGTCTGAATTACAAATGGATAGGAACATTACTCTGATAAATAATGCATTGCCTGTATTTTTACAGTGTTACAAACGCTAATGGTAAGGGGAGAGGGAAATCTAACATAATTGGAGAGGTATTGATAACATGGAAGTACTAGACTCCAAAATGCTACACTTTATATTTAATTATAAGTCCCCACTGGAGCGTTATAATTGCGACAAACTTGCCAGAGAAATTTTCCTTTATCTGCTGCCTGCCACGCGCCTCTTTAATACTTTTTGTTAAATGTTATCTTTTTTGTCTCTTCCTGTTCCTTCCTTTTCCCCTCCTGCCCCGCAGATCAGACGTACGGGGAGGTCAACCAGCTGGGGGGCGTCTTTGTGAACGGGAGACCCCTGCCCAATGCCATCCGCTTGCGGATAGTGGAGCTGGCTCAACTGGGCATTCGGCCGTGTGATATCAGCCGTCAGCTCCGGGTCTCCCACGGCTGCGTGAGCAAAATCTTGGCCCGTTACAACGAGACTGGCTCTATCCTGCCGGGAGCTATAGGAGGCAGCAAGCCCAGGGTCACCACCCCGACAGTGGTGAAGTACATCAGGGAATACAAACAGGGAGACCCGGGGATCTTCGCCTGGGAGATTCGGGACCGGTTGCTGGCGGACGCGGTCTGTGACAAGTACAATGTGCCCTCGGTCAGCTCCATTAGCAGGATCCTCCGCAACAAGATCGGCAACCTGTCGACCTCTGGTCACTACGAAGCCCACAAGCAACTGACACCCCAGCCCGCCCTGCCTTACAACCCTCTGTACCAGTACTCCTACCCCGGGCACATGCCCCCCGCTGCTGCCAAGGTGGGCAGCTCCGCCGGCGTCCCAGTGCCCGGCCACGTTGGCATCCATAGGACCTGGCCCTCCGCTCACTCCGTCTCCAACATCCTCGGGCTCAGAAGCATCGTCGAGCAGACAGGTGAGTGCTGCTTCCAACTCATTCCCTGCTTTTGAGATGGGGCTGAAGAGAACAAAGATTGGGGCGACAACGTGTTTTGAAAAAAAAACATATAAATGGACACACACACAAACATTTTTGGTGATGTATCCGGGATTCGTTTGTGATCCTGTTTCCCTTTTGTCACGCGAAAATACGCCAGTCTCGTTAGATGTACAGCTGTAATCAAAAAGCAGCAACAGCTAGATCTATGATTACAGCAGATATTTAACAAAGCACATCGGTAGATATAATGTACATGAATCAGATCATTATTGGAAGGCTGGGCAGGAGGAACAGGCCACAACATTCGGTGCATTTAATATTTGTTCTCAGTAAATCCATCCTCTAGGCCTCTCCTGTAACTTGTCAATAGCTTAAAATTAAATTAAGGCCCTTCTCCGAGTGTAATAGTGAATGAGATTCCTCCGACCAAGAGTAAACAACAAGGTTTTCATTCTTTTGTTTCCTCATCTCTCTCTCTCTCTCTCTGTATACAATACAGGAAGCGCCCTTGCGGCCTATACTTCCCACTTTGTCTGAACCCTGTGTCCCTGTCTCGATGAACCCTACTCCTTACCTTACAAACAACAAAGAAAGTTTTTACTAAACTTTAAACTTACTACAATCTCCTGACAATTTTTTTTCTCTCCCGTGGAAGATGAGAAAAAGTGCATTAAAATAAAAGTCCAGAAGCATCATTAAATGTTGTTAAATTGTGGAACTCACCGGCGACAATGTTCCTTAATGTTGACAGTGCTGCAAACGATGCTTGAGCTAGCCTTGTGTTTGCTGTTTTGTTTTGGTCGACCAGAGTGCTACATAATAGGCCAGCCTTCAGTTATATCAACCCATTGCAGTTGAAGGGCTTCTGACAAACCAAACAGCACCAGACAAATCGTACAGAGATTTTTTTAAAACCCAGTTTAATACATGAACATGCATGCATGACATGGATAGTGTTATTAAAGACTTTATCTCATCTGAGAGACGGAAGTTGAGAGTGGTTAAAATGCATTTGGAAAAGAAATCCAATTCAATGTTGCAGAAACATTTCCACTGACACACTTCAAAGAAATGAAACTTCAACTCGGATCAGTCTGTTACATGGTAAGCGAAACGTGACAGCGGTGTTCACACGCAATGTTTCTTTTCTGTTTCTGTTTTTTTAACGCGCATTTTAGCTGTTCACGGTGGAACGGAGACTTCAGTTTATCAAACCAAAATGGAAGACTGGAATAACGCCAATCGAGCAGCTTTCTCGTCAACTCAAAGTGTCAACGGGATTGAGAAACAAGCAATAGACCCGGATCTGAAATACCCTCAGGTACTGACCTAAATCCACCCCCCGCTCCCCTTCCCATATGTTTTCACATAGTGAGTGATGCCTTCCTATTCTCTCTCTGTGCCTCTTGCTCTGATGGTAGCAGCTAAAAGTAAAAGCTAACTCCGTGTTTGTTGTATTCCAGCCTCCGTCTGGGCTGCCAGCTGTGAGCAGTTTTGTTCCCGCTTGCGCCGTGGGCCCTTACCCCTCTTCGAACCAAGTGCCAGGTTATGGAGTGTACAGTGGGCCCGGAGCAGGCTACATGAGTGGCCATCACTGGCAGTCCCAGAGCAGCAGCCTCTCTCAATCGGCAGGGCCCGGGATTACCATGCACGGAGGAGACATCCACGCACCAATGCCCTTCAAACACCTCTCAGCCAGAGAAGGTAAATGGCTTTGCTCGTTTACATGGGGCCACGGCCCATTTCCTCAAAAAAAATGCTGAGCCGGACCGATCGAAAGCAAAATGAGGGTGTTTTCAGGACACCTGGAATGAAACAAAAGTAGCTGATTGAAAAAAATATTTTCCTTAGTGCATCTTTCCAGGTAAGAATTGTTAAATCGAACGCAAAACAAATGGTGCAGGTTTATTTGTTAAATATCAGGGCTCATTCGCGTAATGGAGAGGAATGGAATGAAATAGCTGTTTATCGAAGCCCGTATAAGTGACAGGAAAGTGAATTTGTGGAGCTTCCCAAAGTACATTTTTCATGTAGGAAGCAGTCACTCCCCTTTGAACTTGTTCAATGTGCCCTTTTCAGACAAGGGACCGCGTTTCTGTGGCGGCGGCTTTGCTGCAAAATTGCGTTTGCTCTCATTCGACTCTGGGAATGTTGCTTATTGCTCTTGGAACAGTTACAATCTAAAGGCAATTATATTTTCCAAAAGCTGCTTTTGTTTCATTCTAGAGACCCACCAATCTTTACATACGGTGCGCAGAGGCAGCCTCTAAGGAGCTGTGTTACTGTGGGTTGATGTTGGATTCTCACGTAGTATTTCAGCTGAAAATGACAAGGTGTGCATTATTGATTCATAAGTTTTTGTGTTGTTTTTTTTGCTACCTTCTTATCAATTAGACGTTGCTCAGCGGTGGCTGCTAATTAAGAGCCAGTCTTTAAGCAATCTGGCAGAGAGCTGTGAATAGATTTAAGCTACCATTCCAACCCTTATTGTGCATACTCTCAAATTGTATAGCCATGCCCGAGTCTTCTATGGCAGCAGCTAATAGGTAAAATGGTAGGCAGTAACGATAAAGCAACGCCGCCATTACACTCTCAAATCTCCCAGGTCCAAAATCAGGACTGACCAGTTCCATGCCTGTCCGGACAGGTTCCACACCAAGTGTAACCGCCTTAACTAAAGCTGGCGCTCACTTTTATTTTTGTAAATAAGATTTTGTTAACGAGAATATGAAGCGGATAACACAGTCATCTGACGCAGAGCTTTCCAGTTATTAAACGGCTCCTTCCCTCAACAATTCGCTATGTTTTGAAGGCAAAATCCCCATACCCATGTAAGACAGTGCCCAGCTGCGGTTTACCCCATACCTTTCTGCCCTCTCTGTTGTGTAGGATTATCTTAGGCTTTCTACATGCATTGGCACCAATTAATATCCTAAACTATTTTTGTCACCAATTAATACCCCGAGCCGTCTTATTTCAAGTGGTATATATCCAATAATATATTTTATCTTATTTACTTCTTCTGACATGTTCAACTTTCCAGCGACCAAAACTGCTGACAAGTAAACAAAAGCTCTCGCCCAAACTTCCAATTATTTCCAACCATTTGCAATATATTGTTTACTTCACATTTGCAGCGAAAGTACCTAGATGTGATAAACCACATCTTCCCTCTTTACTAACGAAGTGAGAACCTGCTTGAATTCGTTGAAACTAATTGGCTTTATTTATCCCGCAGTATTTTTATTCCCACACTCCTCAGAGAGAGAGAAAAAAAGTCTGCTATTTAGAGACCCCGAGCTCTAAGATTAAAAGGATTACACTGTAGCAGTTAGAAATATAGGTGTGACAAACTGACACTGTTGACTGTACTGCGAGAATGGCAATATTTAGAATTCGGCTGTGTGCATTGCAAATCGATGTTAATCGAGCTAATTGAGGTGGACAGTCGTTGAAAAAAATGTTTTAGTTATGAGTCTACTATTTCCTTTACTTGCTGTTTCTTCCCTCTCTGATCCGTGTTAGATTCAAGGGCAACTGTTGATGTTTTAAGCTTGCCCTGTCGCCTTTCACCGACTGACTACCTTTTCTGGCCAAAGCCCATTCTTGCGTTTACAGCCGTTGTAGGAGCTGCCTTTGGTTTCTGTGATCAAATCAAAGCAGCGTTCGTTAAAACCATCTGGTCATATTGAATACGACAATTTGCAAATGCGAAAGCAATGTTTATTACATATAAAAAAATCGGCGGAGTTAGGATTTAAAATCAGAGGGAATACTGAAGATCAGACATTGAATTGGGAATTTTTGGACAAATTACTGTTTTTGTATTTGCAAGCATCAAGTAATTGGGTCGGTGAGTCAACAATTTTAACATGCTCGCTCTTCAAAAATACGTGTTTCCAAATGTTTGTTTGTAGTGCTGGGTTCAATTTGTTCTTGTTGCTTCTGAATGCCTTGGTCCAATGCATTCACGAAAATACGTGTGAATATGAGCAGAAATGGAAGGGAGCCTGGAACTAGGGCCCAGCAGCTTGTACTTCATTTCAGTTCAGCATCCTGACTTTTAGACGATTGTATTCTTCATAAACTGCACGTGGTTGTTTTTGGGGACGACGGGTGGGATTCATAATCGAGAAAACTAGGATACGTTTTGCCGTAATAATTCAATATTCGCACGCGATAAAGATCAGCGAGTCCTTATAATCCAGAGGGCGCTTTCCTCATTTGCAAATCACTTACAGCTAGCTCAGAAAGGTGCAGCTCCGTGAGAGAGTCAATCTGGATGCCTCAGGTATACTTAGTTCCCTTAAAAAAAAATCCGATTTATTCCCAGCTGTGGGGAATCGGAGTTTTGCTGTGATCAAAAGCGAGGACACAAAAAGACATTGGATCTCACTGCCAATTGTCGAGTGATTTCAGAGCACGAAACCGTGGGGAGATGGGCTGATAGGTTTCAGGCTCCTAACCTCGAATTGTAAATCTGTGCAAGGAAAGAATTTCAAAGCAAACTAAGTGAACGAATATTCCGGAAGTGTGGAAGCTCCATTATGGCAGTGCAAGATGAGAGTGCAGAGGGGTCCAGGGATGGGTGTTTCAGAAGATACCACCTTGTTTATACCAGTTGTCTAAAATTATGTCATTAAAATGATTAAAAAAGCAGATTATTTTGCTTTGACGATTAAAACATCCTTCCTTCGCCTGTCTGAAGTGATTTAGTACTATTGCGTAATTTCCCAGAGAGCAAGCAGCCACAGGTAGCAGAGACAGACTGTCTCTCTTTATATTAGTAACGGCATGGGGTCACCTGGCACATATATGCCATTAGGTGCCCAGATTCAATCGAATCTGGAATCACCTGTCCTCTTGGTCATCGGCGTTCTTTCCTGGCTACAGGCCCGACTGGAACCGGAGTTCGACTCTTGCGGTGTATACAGATGGACAATTCTAAATATGCCCCTTCCACATCTCAACATTTCATTTACCAACCACAAACCAATGCTGTTGTTTCGATACTCAAGAAATATTTTTGAGATTGTTTTCATTCACCTGAAACCATGAAGGCGTCCTTTTGCCTCCTTTAAACCAATCGACCTTCTTTTCTAGCAAATGTCAGAATAAGACAAGAATAAACGATAAACGCTGTGTTTATACCAGAAACAGTTAAATCGAGAGCGGCAAAAATACGAAAAGGCTGGAACTGCACAGCAGGGCGGTTAATATCCATTAGGGCTATTATTTCCGTAGAGATGCTTGACTTTCTGGTTAGAAGGTTTAACATTAAAAGTGAATATTTCGGTATCAGACTCGAAGCAGACTCGTCTCTCGGCATTTCATGCAGATCCTCTGTTTTAAAATCAGATGTCAAAAAAGAAACCCTATCAAAGGGCTTTTTCGATTATTAAGAAAATATTTGCATCTACATTGGGATTAACCTATAAATTCAATTTTACATTCGAGAATCCGGATTGTATATTCACTGAATATAGTTGCATTTCATTCAGAAAAAGATAATGTTCCAGTCATCGCCTGACTGACAATATTTCCAATTCTAAGAAGTTACTAAACACGCGAATGCACACTTTTTAGAACATCATAATTTGAAAAAACAAACATCAAGGTTATGAATATCTAGGGTAAAAATGGGATCTTAATGAATTTGCCTTTGGTTATCCTTCCCTCGTGCAGTTCAAGCTTTCGAAAAATCGATGTATTAAGCTAAGAGATAAAATTTAAAAAAAAAGACGCTTTTTTTCTGTGCGAGCGACTCGCTGGTCTGAATTATCAAGGCATTTTATTCCGCTCTCTCCTTGCTTTTGTTTCAGCAGCAGAGAGAAAACCCGTGAGCCCCGTTAATAAACCCACTGAAACTCTTAGCAGCGCGCACGGCCTCTCAATCCCAGCCTCCAGCACGTAAAAGACTCGCCCCCCCACCCCAGACACAACACAAACGATGGTACCATATTCAAGAAACAAAAGGAGTTCCACAGGAGATCGAATGAATGATAAAGCTTACTTCCAGGAACTTTGGGTCTGCTATTTTATTTTATTTCGATTTTAAGGACCTGTTGGGAATAATCAAAGATATTTGGAAGACTACGTGCAGTGAGGCGATGGGGAGACAATGCTTGGATCCGCTAAAGACATTTCCGTCCCCTTGCCTCCAGCGAATAACAATTCCTCAGTTCAGACGCGGTGTTGGTGGCGGGGAGGCCGATCTGTTTTGATTTCGTTTCATATATTTGTGAAATGTCGAGAAATCTTATTTGTATTGTAGCTGATAGGAATATAAGCCATAATATAACCAAAAAAAAAAGAAATCCGACTTTACTGTTCATTAATGCAGGCTTCGCCCATAAATAGGATGCCACCCGTTCCCCTACAGGCAACGGGAGACTTCCTCAGTAATGTATAATGTGTTTGCATATATCTTTATGAACCCAGACACTTGGCTAATGCATACAGCTACCGGTTGGCGCCACAGACCATGTGAACAAGTTGTGAACATTTTGATGTATATCCGAGACTGTAAATGTACAAATATTTTTGCCCTCGCGGTCTATTTTATATTTTTATATTTTGAATTTAAAAATGCATTTATGTTGAAATAAAACAACCATCAAATCAGAAGACGAGAAGTGCATCATACCTATGGATGTGTGTGTGCGCGCGATGAGGTTGGGGAGTGGGTGCGTTTGTTGTTTGCCATTTGCAACATTATTTGTTTCATTATTGAATTGCCAATAACGAAAAAAAATCCTTTTTTTTGTTCAAGGGCCAATAGAGATATGCAGAATAAAGTAGGTGAATGAGAGAGAGGAAAAAAGAACAACCTGCTTTCTTGCTGCACAGAATTCTTCACAAAAATAATTCTAGTTAGTTTTCTTTTTAACTCATTCACTTACTTTATTCTGTACATCTGTTAGCCCATGGTTTAATTCAAGTAGCGATCCAAACGATCGACTGTAATAGTGACAGTATCAGCACAACAACTACATCGAAATGACATTGAAAAAGCAAATATGATATGAAGATGCCGGTGTTGGACTGGGGCGGACAAGGCCAAAGTCACACAACACCGGAGTGGTTAATGACACAGTTTTTCCGAAGTGTCAACAATTTTCAGACAGTGTGAACGGGATGGTTGTCACTCATCCTAAAATCTGCACCTTTCTCATGAAGCACCGCTTTGCTTTTCTTAAAAAGGAAGGTTCGAACGAATGTGATAAGCCCAAAACCCTGTGTTGTTTTACATCCTGCTCTGGTGTGCCCACACATCGTGTAAACATGTTATCAGTCAAAAGTGCTGCTAGGAGTTATAATTTGTATATCGCGGTCCGTATGCTTGTTTGATCTTTTTGTATTACATCTGTTTTATCTTCAAATTATTAAACGTTTTCAGCCAAGCAAATTCATCGCAGTAGGAAGAGTTAAGGCAGCCCTCATAGGTTGTATTGTTTATAATCAGGCCTATCTTTCCAATATCGCACTTGTTCGAGGACCTGACCTTAAACATTTTGTGTTCAGTGCTCTGGATACAATCCTCTGATTTACACCAGTACTATCGAATGCTCCCACCAGAAATCGGTCCGTTTTAGGACTCTATGATTACATCAAAAGCATCCAGATCGTATTTTACGCACATCTGCAATGAAATATCAAATCAATGATTTGAAAATATTAATTTATAAATGTTCACAAAAGAAACTCCAGTGTGCATCTGCTGTGTTTCACTCGACAGAAGTTGTACTAACCTTCCTGCGTACAGAATAGGATTGCGCTAGCTCTTCCGTCGGATGTGTTATTTACAATTCGTATAATTCAACGTTGTTTCAATAATAACTAATAAAAATTACAACTGAAGCTCCTTAAAAATGCATTTTCTCATACTTCCTAATTGTTGATCTTAGTACCAACAACAACCCGCTTCATAAATGTGACAGATACCCAAATCGATTTAGATTGTAGGAGCAAAATAGATTTAGATTTTGTTCTTTTAACCGGTGTTAAACAAAATATTTTGGACAGCATTATTTGCATAACCTCACGATGACGCTACGCTGTAAAAATTTTTAACAGATTCGAATGGTGAACGAGGTAAGCTATAATATACCCTTCAGGGAATAAGTGTCAGTGGGGCTCTGCATGGCTTGATGTGTTAGCAAACCATGTTCTAGCGGGGTAACACCGCTATTAAAACTCAATAACATAGGAAATGAGAAATTTCCATTACAGACATGACAATTTGCCTCATGTTAAAATATGTGCACACTGTCTGAACAGTAAGTGCTAGCCTTGTTTAACTAAGGAGTACTTTTAAATGTGTCTATCATTGGCAACAGACGAATCATGATGACATCTGGCGCTGCTTGGGGCGAGAACTAATCAAAAGCAATGACAACCTTGCTTTTCCTGAAATTGTTAACGTTCATTTAAAGAGCTCTGTTGAGTTAGAAGCAGGCGTTGCAGGGAGCCCGGGACATTTCATCATTTCTGGGCCAATTTACAAATCCATCAGACACGAGCAACACTATTTTTCAGTTTCTTTGAGCTGAAGATATAAAGCAGATTGCAACTTGGAAGTTGGAAAGAGGTTCATATAAGCTGAGGTCTACTTAGGACTGTATTCGAAGAGGTCTGTATTACAACTGATCTGGCTAAACTTTGTTGTAAAATGTTTTATTCAACTGAGTAATTGTTGGTTTAAAATCAAATCATTGCTCACAAAACCCTCCATGCCTCAGCCCTCTTCGTCTTTATAATGTCTTCTAACCCCCACAAAGCTCCAATATATCTGCTCACTTCAATTCAGGCCTCTTGAACATCGTTTATTTCAAATATTCCAGCATTGGCGGAGGTACCTTCGGTTACCTCGATCCGAAGGTTTGTAATTCGCTCCTTACAGCTCTTTGCCGTTCTCCTCCTTATAACCTATCTCTTTTATAAAGTTTTCGTGCATCTGATGTCTCATGGTGTGGTATGGTGTCATATTTTGTTTTATAGTGCTCCTGTGAAATGCCTAGGGACATTTTATTCTTAGCGATGCTATATAAATGTAAGTTGTTGTTGGTTTGTGAAAATTTATGTTCCCCCACTGCAGTGTGCTCTAATGCCTATAATAACTTTGTTAGCTGGATTAAGGCTCCCGCTGTTATCCATATAATATTTAATATTACCTTAAGCTCCATAGCATATGGGACCAACATTTTGAAGATTATGTTATTTGCATAGGGCAGAAATTTCTGGCCGCACAATCAAAATGTTGTAATGTTTTGAAGTAGTTGCCAAATATTCAATGTTAAGTCCTCTGCTTTCTACTGAAAATTCTTTATTATTCCCCAGTTCCTTTCATGATAAACCATAACTGTATTTCACGATTTAAATAATGTCAACTAGGAAGAAGATGTGAAACTGTTTCCTTGTTGCTTAGTTGCAATGTTTAATTAATCTTTATTCAATTTGAACAGGCATGAGCCCACAACTTACCACTGTTGCAATACTGCTCCGGCAGGCTGTTGGGATTAACGCACACTGTTGGGGGATGGTAGCATTTAATTGCAGGTGGCTTTGACTACATCTGACTTGGAAGTTCTTGGCTATAATATAGGCTTTACAGAATGTCGATTTGCGAGTAGATGAAGCTCTTATCCTTAGCACAAAATTCAGCAAAAATATTTGAAAAGTGAAAGTATTATAATGGGGAAAATTTCCTATGAATTTTAAATATTGAAATTAATATGGGCAATAATAAAGCATCAGTCTTTCATCTGATTAATTCAGACCAATAGAAATGTTGTAAGAAGTATAAAGTGTATTAAAACATGTGGTCTAACATTTCATTCCTAACATTCGCTATTTTAAATACTGGACTCCTACACATACCATATAACACTTAATAGATGGAAATTAATATCACAATTCATAATTTATGGCATTTTAAACATTCTTTGAATTGTTTATAAATACATTGCTTCTGTTGTTTGTTCCTTACTTGAATTTACATTGATGCTTGTTCTCTCTTTCAGCCTTTTGGCCATATTTATAGTGTCTTATGTTTCTGGTTGCTGAAGCTGGCGTTCAATGATATTAGCACCTCGGTGACAGTGAGAGAACAGAATATTACTCCGAGACTCCACCTTGAACAGTCCGATCACGGATAGTCTTTGTGTCTTCGCATAAAACGTATTTACATAGACCATCATAAATATTTCAAGGCTCAGTTTTCAACTTTTTCACTGTCTTTTTTGTTACTTCTCTATTAGCCATCATGGCATTTGCGTCCGTCATAAAATATGAAAATGTAGTAAAAATCAAAAGCATTTGTTTGACCTATTTGAATGTTTCCTGGGACAGCAGAAATACACACCACATATATATTAGTTGAATTTAAGTGAAAACTTTAGAGTTCAACAATTAAACTCAATTGTTGTCCTACACTGGAAAATATAGCAATGATTATTTTTTTACTGTGAAAGTTATCGTTAGTTTAACCATTTTCAACAATTGTCAATTATTGATTTATACAGTTTAGAACATTGGAATGTGAGAGGATTATGCACTGAGAATCGTTACAAATATGAGGTTTATGAGAAGAAGTTCCGAATTAGTCTTATTGCTTGTGAAATGTTAACTCTGTTTCTCTCTCCACAGATACTGCCAGACCTGGTGAGTTTCGCCAGCGCTTGCTGTTATTATCGTAGGGCTTATATGATTGTTGTGTTTCAGTGTTCTCTCTTTCGTTTAGGCTATGAAGGACGGATGAAGGGGGTCATGTGGCCTGTTAAAAATTCGGGTCCATAATAAGCTTGTGTGGCTTGATTGCTAAAAATTAAAGAGGAAGCCCAGGTTTTCTGACTGTGAAGAAAGTGTAAGATGTTCACATTTGTAAGCAATGACCAGAGTGGCCGTGCTGATGTTGTGCTGCTTTTCAAATTCCAA